AATAACCAATCAAATCTAAACCAGCATTACAGGACACTATTGTATGCAGCTCTGCATTCACTAGAAGGAGCCAGGTACATGACGTCTTCTTGGAGTTAATCATGGGATCTACAGCCCCCTTCGCGGTAGACTCTGGGCACGGGCTCCGTCTAGCGCGATCAGAATTTACTGTAGCTGTGCAACTTCCACCAACCAAGGTCGACTAACTACGACCCCCTTCCACATTATGGTGCCCTCACGATGTGAAAAAGCAGGCGTAAAACGGGGAAAAACTAACAACCAAAAATTTCTCAGGCAGAAAGCTACCTCCTCTCCCTCCCCAACGAGCAGGAACGACCCCTGATGTGATTTTCCCAACAATGCTGCACCCTTGTATGACCCTATTATAGCCTTTCCTGGCTCTGCCAACTCTAAAACTAACAATACAGCTGTTTAGTGTTGTCGTATCATCAGTCCATTTCAGTATCTCTACAAGACCCCGACCCTAAATGAATGCTCCCCTGTTCAACACCACTAAACAATTTCTCAGCCTTTGCTGGACGTCGCAGAGTCACATTTCTCAGCCCTTGCTGGACCTCGCTGAGTCACAAGTCGAGTTGACCAACCACATAAGGAGAGAAGAAAGGAGTTCCCATAGAAGTATTTAAAACAATAGCCTATCCCAGCAACTCATTCCTACCAAAGCGCTCAATCACTCTATTCAAAACTGGCATACCTCCTGAGGAATGCACCGTTGCTCGTTCGTCTGGCACTTGTCGCCATTGTTAGGATCGAACTGCATTGAACAGCACATAACGAAAGCCTGAAATTGACTGAATTTCTGGTTTGGAATCCAAGGCTACTGTATCCTCGACATGTTTAGAAAGAGGTCAGAGCGGCAAAAAAGGAAATTAGTACGGTGAGTTATGAGGCAACCCTTCAACTAGGAAAAATATGATTAATGTGGTTGAGAGACATCTAGAAAAGTGCATAGCTAAAAGGGTGATAAATCAAAGCGTTACCTTGCAGTACTGCTCAGGAGTAGGAGCAAAAGTTGCAATCGAGTTACAACTATCGTAACGATCCCGAATCGTCGGATCCCAGTTGGTCACTGCCATAGTTCTGAAAAGGGAGATTACTTGTAAGAGTATGCAGAAAAATTCCCTGCATCTTCGTTCGAATCCCATAAGAAAACTCATTAGGTTGCTATGGAGGTGAGTGATAATCTCGTTTCAGGCGCGCCACAGATAACTCTAGCCTGTGAGCTGCCTAAAGTACACTCCTTATCCCCGCGATGGAGTAGGCGTGACATATGAACATGGCATAGAATTGATTATTCGTGGGATATTTCAGTTTGAGACAACTGTCATCTGTTCACTGTTGGACAGAGAAATTACCACAATTGTGTCAAAATGAAAATATCTCTCCAAAAGCACAGTCACCTCCGTGTTTCGGTTGAAGTACGCAGCCACGCCTACCGCATCTCTGGGATTTCGAGTGTAAGGGGCGGTACCAAAGGAGGAAATCTGGGAGTCCTTCGTATACGCCATGTCACCCATCTCGATAAAGCACCCTGCTCCTAGAGCCCTGTGATTCTCACGAAAAATAGTAAAACTCAAAAAAGTCCTAACTTTTTATCAAATTACACTGTATGTGCCCCCAGTTCATTACTTTTGACTTTTTTCCATGTTCCCCCATTGCGGGAAGCCCTGCAATTACCCCAAGTGCAGGACCCACAGAAAAAAAAGAAAAATTGCTCTTTCTAGTTGGATGAAATTCTTTTCCTCGAGAAAAGAAAGAAGAAAACCTCTCACACCAGAATCTTCGGAACGCAAAAACAGAGTTTTTTCACAAGTACGTCTGGAGCTGCGCTTTTACTAGTACCCCCCCCCCCACTCCCCCAGAGCGAAAAACAAAATTTCCATTAAAACTGACAAAGCATGATAAATCACAGGATCGGGACAAGGCGACTATTGAAAATGATCCCACGACCGCAAAGGCTCAACCTTCATCCATGCTGCCTATTTATCCTACAAGGCTACGACTTACTGATAAGTACCGCGCGTGTTGCCTGCATCATCGTATGACTATTTCATTGCTCTCAAAACGGAAGGAAATGCTGTGACAGAAGCTCAAATTTGACGAGTGTTGAGGCGGTTGAGAGGGCTGCTAGTACGTCGTCTGTGTTCTCTCACTAAGATATTGTTTAGCTTAGAGGAGTTCACGATCAGACGAGTAGGTATAGCCTTGTGTGGCCTAGATTCCCCTCCCCCTCAACCACCTTAGCACCCAGAAATGAGCTATCAAACTTGGAAAAAGTGTGTGAAAATCTACTCACCCGGGTCCATCTTCCTCTTCTTCCGACGACGTTTGCCGCCTCATTCGGGCGTCAACGGCACAGACGATTGCGAGTGTGAAGAGTAGAAATGTTCGTGACATTCTGATTAATTATTCGTGAAAAACTATTGCCCAAAGATTGGAGGCCAACGATACTGCAAAAGGACAGATTTTCTTGTGAAAAGCGCTAATCATTGCATAGATAACGCGATTAGGAACGAGAATAATTAGATTCTACTGGATGAAAAGAAGGCAACGTTGGAGCAGTAGTTAATCCACAGACTACAGAGGGCAATACGGCTAGGAGGGGGAGGCATTTTGCAGTTTCGCCGCTTCCCATCGTCGTGTCAGCATCAAGTAGAGATTTGTGAAATTCTGTGAAGCCCTGAAGTGATACTAGTCGATGTTTGTGAAGGACACCTGTCAGCTCTTGTAGAGCAGTGAACAGTTCGATGGAAAAGCAGTGAAAGGACATAATGCCCCCCCCTAAGCCGAATTGCACCCTACTAAATAATATGACAAATTAATCACAGGGCTTTATAGTAAAGGCAGGGAATTGCTCTAGAAACTGAATCCCTGCCTGAGGAAGCCGTCGATGAAATGCAGAATTGCTGCAAGGGCAGAGTTCTTGAGAGAGGATAGGCATCTATAAAGTTCCTATGGTAAAAGCTGGGTGACCACTAGGGCTGCGGTTCCCAAGATGGCCTCAGAGGGGGCGTTTATCGCCCAAACTTGAGCTGAATAAAAAGTTTTTTTACAGCCAATCAACGTATTTCGGTTATTGGAACCGCTAGCTCTACTCCAATAAGAAAGGATATTTCGGTGCACAGCACCCAAGACGTTCAAAACCATGACAACCTCTTTAAAAGGAGATGGATTCACTGACCCGCAGCTGTTTCCTCCCTAGATAAAAGCCCTTATCCCCTTGGTACACTTCACACCTCCCAATACGCAGTCCCCTCACTTCTGTGGACAAGCTCTGAAAGGGTTTCTGAAATGGAAAATGAATGGAAACTTTAATTACCCTTTCAGTGGTCAAAAACTGCGCGCTACTTCTCTCAATTTCGTTGAAACTGAGAATAAAGTTTGGCGCTAGCCTATTTGGAGGGGGAACACTCTGTTGTGTACCATTTTCCACGAATTTCCAGAAAGGCTCAAGCTTAGAGCGCAGACGACCAGAGTCGCCGAGGTGTGGTTCAGCAAAGAAGTCATACTCTCCGCTGAGCCTAAGTCTTAGTTAGGGAAAGTTTTCTCCCATCCCCTTCCAACTAGGTTAGCGCCCCAAATTCAAGTTAGGACATTCGGATCCATGGCCAGGGAGTTCGCTTATTGTCAGTAAGGGAATTAGACAACGGCACAAAAGTTTTGCGAACATACGAAGAAAATGTGTGGAAAAAGGAATGAGTTTCAAATTAGCAGCACCACTGCTAGCAGACAGCCAAATGCGTTTACTACTTAACCGTGGTCGTTATCGATTGACGCGCATGAGAACATAGGGTTTAACTGCAGCGGGAAAATGGGCAACATCGATCGGTTTACCTCCTGACAGTGTACGTTCCTGCTTGCGTTTGGGGCTTTGCCGCGGAAGGAGAAGGCGCAGAAGAACAGAACGGACAGCGGCTGCCGGAGACGAACTCAAGACCGAGCGCTTCGAAGAGGAGGTTCAGGAATAGGTGAGCTACTTGTAATCAGGGCGCGTCGCATGTTGCCGGCCCCATACGAGGGGGGGGGTCGTGCTTATTCGGTCCCTCCATTCGCTCGACGACAATTTTTTCGATGGGTGGAAGGGGAAAGGAGAACTGGAGAGTTACATCCCCAGAAAAAGCAATTGGAGGAATTCAGGAAGATGGCAGGTAGGTTGGGGAGGGGGTCGTGCCAGAGCAGGAAATTTTAAGTTTTTGATTTTGCTATATTTTCCCCAGCTGTAAGACGTGGTTTGCTTCTCATGCTTGAGAAATAGGATAGTGCGACCACGTCCTGCCGTTGGGAAGAACATTGCGAAATACGACCCCCCCCCTCCCTCGCTGGGGATCCCAACATACAACGTGCCCTGGATTTTATAACGGTTACGGAGTGCTATATAGCGAGCCAAGGGAAGAGAACTGGTGGAACCAAATGACCGAGCTCAAGCTGCCCGCAGATTCCCTCGAAGCCTTGCAGCGCAGCCTGCAAAGGTCTGCAAAAGTGCAACCTCCCCAAAGACTTCAATTTTTTCCAGACCGAGGAATTTTTATCATCGTTACCCATCTAGCCTTTCACTCACATATGAGGAAACCTTGAACTAATCCCCAGAAAGCTATCAAATGCCGCAATCGTGAACGAGAGCGGTTTCTTCATGAATGCGGATTAATTCCGATGCTCAGCGGCGCATGTGATTCGATATGGTTGCCGTAGGCGTCTTTTCTGCTCGATTTTTTTTTCGCGAATCGCCTGGAATCGTGCGAGGGTTGCGTTTCAGTCCAGCGGGCTGGTATTGAATTTCACTTTAGTCAGCAGTAATTAGCAAAGTAGGAAACTGATGAATAATTCAAAGACCACGACGACGATGTGATGAGAGAGATGAGAGGTCCAGTGAGTTGAAGCCAGCTCGAGGCGGTCGAGTTCGATGAAATGGGAACGGAATTTAAACTATTGCGAAACGTGTTATTTATTTAGCTGATTGGCGGCTTTGTGGAGCTACCAGGGAAAAAACCCGGCGATCGTTGACGATTTGAACAATGGAACAGATGATTCTAAATGCAATTTGTATAGGCTGTGACGGTTTAACTTGAGCGGCCGATTATGACTGTGCATCGAGTGGGCGATAGCTAAACAGCCATCGGTTGGCAAGTGATTCACCCGGATCTGAACGGAAAGGGAGGGGATTTGAATAATGATCTCGTAGTACTGGAACTACACCAAAAGTACGATAATTTACAGCTGTCGAGGGTCGGGGGAGGTGGCCTACAAGGTATCCGTTAACAGGATACTTCCTAGCCGTGAGCGGTTCTGAAGCCTTTCCTTTTCCTTTAGCTTCATTTCGTCCGGGTATTCGAATTAAAGGAGAACGGCAAGGGAAGAAGGAACGAAAGCGAATGTAAGGAGAAGAAAAAACACGAACGAGACAGGTTCGCGGCATTGACAGTATACCTGAACGGGGCGGCGGGTAGGGGGAGGGAGGCCTGTGGACAGATTCAACTTATTTGGACAGCTCGATCATTTATACCTAGGACTTTACCATTGGAACGAGACCTACGCTGCATGTTGCCGGACGCGTGAGCGAAGCGAGTCAGTCTCATGCCCAGTCCCTTAAGGCCAAACCACATCCTGACTTGTCCGGGAACGCTAAAAGTGGAATTTGTTTGGGAAAAGGCAAACTCTGATTTATACCGGGCGTGGATCGGGTATAAATCAGAGTTTTGCCCCTGGGCTCAGTGCTTCGGGACCGGGACCCAGGCATCTAGCGTCTTGTGCGACCCGGACACTCTGAAGCCGATCTGCTTGTAGAGTACAGAAGCAGCCGATTCTGAAGAGAGCGAGGGACAGCCCCAGAGGCCCGTGATGCTACAGGGTCCGAGACATGTATAATGTCTCATTGGCAGCTACGTGCGTGATCAGCACGTCGAAAGGGAGAGATGCAAAGGGAGGACGGAGAAGAGAAGAAATGAAGGAGGGGAAAAAAAGGAGGAAGGATGGAGGAAGAAGGGAAGAGAGGGGAGGCTTTGCAGTCTACAAGTGTCCTGAGACGGTCACAAGGCCCACATTTCCTCGGCTAAATCGCGTCACTCGCTGGCTAGGCCAAATCGACTTCCAGGGCAACTGTGATTCTGAATGGAAGTAGAATTCATCCCAAGAGGAACTGACCAACAACGAAAAGTAGTTCATCCATTCCATTGGAACTTTCTGGAATGGCCCAGTTATAGAACAGTTAGGGAGCAGATGAGCCATATTACATGAAAAAGTGGTAGGATTACAGTAATCAATGGGATCCCGAACGAGATAGGCTCGGTTTAGAGAATCTATCGATCTCACAGGAGAACTGTTAAAAGAAGTTTTGTTTCGAAATAGCAGCCCAGCGTAACCCGGGGACCGGACGACATAGTAACGAGGTAGCAGCAGGAGTAAGGTTAATACCACCACGAGAAGCGATTAGGGTAATGCACGAGGTGATCAGTGAACGTCCTCTAGTGGTGACGCGAATAGCGGCGGATGGATAAGGGAGAAGAGGCCGGAACGAAGAAGGACGGCGAGAAGAAGGAGGAGGAGGGGTGACGACGAGAATGGCTCGACGATGGAGACAGCCGACGGTCACGCACTTCCACACATAACTCAACATAATCAATTTAGGTTCATGCAATGTAATTATGCGAACACAGAGACGATAATGTCCAACACCATCACAGAAGGATTTGGAGGAATTTAGCGCCTTTCCCGGGCACCAGCACGGCGCTACGAAGCACATTGAGCCACGGGACGGGACATTCCATAACGTGCCTGAACAAAGCGCCTTGTTAAATGAAGAGTGGTGACAGCTGGGTTGCGAAATAGGTGCTAGAAGAGACTCAGTGAGTCATTAGTGGGGCCTATTACAGTACCTAGGACTAGGCATATCAGTGGAGCTATGCCTACTTTCGTTTAGAGAGGATATAGTCACAACTGGTTCTCAACTTGGTCTTCATTTTCCCCGAAAACAGCTGATTTGTTTTAGAAACAAAACTACTTCAGTTTGGCATTGTCCCCCGCAAAAATTTGATTTTGTAGAAAAGAAATTGACATTTCAAACGGGTTGCGGTATTAGTGCGAAAATCAGGAAGAGACACGAGCACATTAAGGTTGACTTCCCAATCTTTATTTATGTAGCCGCTGCGCTCGTAGTGCAACTATGATTTTTTGCTCATACCGAAGGCGTATTCGTTGTCTGCCTGTGCAAACCTGAGCTCGCGTCATCCGAATAGACACAAACAAAGTACCCGGCGTTTGTCGCTGCCGGATCACCCTTGGTTTTCCGCTAATCTCTCTGGTGGAAATTCACAGGCCTGAAGGCTAGGTCACTAACTCGGTGACCTGAGCTGCGTCGGGCGAGAAAGTCAGTCCACAAGCTTTGCAGTGGGGATGAATGAGTT